CCTCTCACACCTTTGTCAGCTCCCAACCTTTCATGTGTAGATATTTGCAAAAATGCATATTGCCAAACACTGCTCTGAGCTAATCACATATACAGAAAATGAATGCAACTTAAATCTACATATCAGACTTATCATGGTGACTATAGCCATATTCTTCAACACACCAGAGACAGTTTGCATGTGATGTAGAACTATAAAGCACTGTAACGTTGCACAATGCCATTAGTCATGTCATCTCACTGTATTTACCTCTTCTTTCAACCGCTTCATGTATGTGAGGTAATATTTGTGAAAAAGCAGTAGTGTTGATGCCAATAGAAGCACACAGGCCTATTAAATGAAATATGTAGCGTGCACAGGTGAAACAAGGTTTAATGGATCAGGGAACAGATTGGCTGCACTGATACGGGTAGATGGAGCATGATGTCTGTGTTTTTAAAGTGGCTCATATAATGAAGAGCATTACTCTCAAAAGAGTATTGTATTTTTCTACATTTACTCTAATGCCCTGTATTTGTACTCAGCACTACAGAGTGTGATTTAACCATTTAGTGCACATAATGTTACTCACTATAACAGTAATTATCCCTCTAAATGTTTTTGCAGTACCCTATATGATGTTCCTGTGTGACGGTCACTTTAGCAGTATGAGTTGAGAATTGTATATTACTGATATTCCTTGTTTTATGTCAAAACAGAAAGAAAAATAAACTATTTCAATACTTACAATACATCTAGTGTTTCCTTGTGTTTTGTTGTATTTCACTGAAGTGATTTGGCCAAAAAACCAAACACCCACAGTAATTGTATGCTAACGGGACATGTGTCCTCTCAGTTTGAACATTCACGCCAGGCTGGTAGCCAACCTCTTTGCCAGCATGAAAGATGGAAGCTCTACAGAGGCATCTCTACATGAACAGTGAGTCCAGCTACCTGACTGTGACGAGTGCTTTAATGAAATAAACTACACAATTTGCAGAATACTAACCAATGTGTCACAGGCACTGCCCAGGGCCTCTCAAACTCATGAGAGGGAAACTAACATCAAAATAAGATAAATCATATTGAAAACCATGTAATTCTAAAATCATTTTGACTCATTTGTTTTATTATTGATTATGTGCCTTAGAGAATGGGAATTGTGAGGCACATATAACACATGAAAGGTCATCTTTGAATGTGCTCACGTCTTTTCACGTACAAATGCCGCTCTTATGCATCAATCTTACGTTAGCAAGTTATGTTTAGTGCTACTGCAGAAAATGGTGTGAGTTGTCATAGGGAAAGAAAAGATGCTGAAGTTGGAGTGTGCATATTAGCACTGGCATTCTTGGTTTCCAGGTTCCTGTGTTATGGTCAGTGTTGTGCACAATGCTAAACATGCACAATCCATCCCTAACCTCAAATAAGTAGACTCAAACTCTTATCTACAATTCCACAAACTTCTGTCTGTCTTTATGTTGAACACATATTTTGCAAACCATTCATCTTATCAGCTTCACACACTTTGCATGTGGATTGTAAGTTGTACAATAAAGTGCAATGTCTAATTTGGTGCAAGGACATGGGATATGTTCGATATTAATAAAAACTTAATGCTTTCAGTCTGTGGGCTGAACCGAGTCTTTCACATCTCTGGACATATTACAGCAGCAGTTGACAACCGGCAGCCAGCAGCCAAATAATATCTGTCCTGCCTGACATTTGTGGAATTAGTGGATAGATGAAAAGTGTTCAGCTGTAGGTTTAAAGGGAGTTTGAATAAAAACAGGAGACAAGTACATTGATTTATTGCCAGGAGCATGTTTCGATGGAACCACGAGCTGTAATTATGAAACAAACAGACTTAATTTCAAGTACCAATGTGTGATTTCAGGTCAGGAAGCTTGGTGACATATGTGAGTAAAAGTGAGCTAGGAAACCATTGAAAATCACACACACACACACACACACACACACACACACACAAAATCTCTCTCTCTCTCTCTCTCAATATTTCTTCACTTGCTTCAGCTTACTTTTTCACAAAGAGAAGTAAACCTGATAAGACATTTGAATCGCAGTTTCCGAATAGTGTAGGCTTGTTCTGCCAGATCACTCAAGGTCGGGTTGATTAAGTCAAAATTGAAGTAAATCCATGTAAATGAGGTGCTGCAAAACATCCTCGATGACAACAGCCAAATGTTTAAACATGAACCTAACTGGAAACCAGGTAAACAGAGAGTCTCTCAGGACGTACCAAGGTTCTTCTACATGAGTGCCATTTGAGTTGTCAGTCAATGCTTTACTCACTTACTGTCTTTGACACAATGACTTCTTTTGATTTATAGACACTTAATATTTTCCAAAAACAAAAAGTCCCATAGTTCAAGAACTGAAAATATTTGAGACGTATTTTTGAAAAGCTTTTACCTCCACTTTTAAGATGCTGCTCACACTGTGAATGCAGAGAGCTTTTTATGATCTGGTGGTCAGTCATCCTTGATTAGTGTAGCTCTATGAATAATGTCTCCCAGTGTGCCATCAGTCATGTTATGACACTCCGGCTCAGACGCTGCCACAGAGAGAAACTACATCTGCCCATTTAACTCAAATCTACTAAGTATTGCACTCAACTAAGGGAATCTCATTCGAATGCAGACAAAGTTATTTTATTTTATTATTTTTTTAATCTGGACCATCTTTTATTCAAGTGACAGCTTTAATAGTTGCCCATTTTTTACTTTAACACCAGCAAAGTTTCACTTAATTACCTTGGACATCTCATTTCAACTAAAAAGCTCCTCACTTGTCGACCCACATCTTCTAATTGCCTTAATGTAATTTAAATCACTCTTAGCTAATTGAAAGTTTCATCAAAGTATGTCTTCATAATATTCAATTGTGTCTTAATGTGTAATTTTCCAAGTTCCAATTGTTCTGATTAGCACAGTAAATCACAAACAACTTTGTCACGGCTCCTTGATGTGGCGCTGACACACTGTTTCATCCACTAATTAAAATAGGGTTGATCTAAACCACTCTGAATCTGAGGGCTGGAGTTTAGATGGAGGGCTGACATCTGCTTGTGTTGAGAACAGCAAAATAAAGGACGAAGCACAACACAACCCTCCTTTGTTGCAGATCAGCAGTTGGCCCTCGTCAGGGTTTGTTCTGCACTGAACTCCTTATGCAGCAGCATGCTGGTGGGTGTAGTGATGCATATATGTTATAAATTAGTTTGGGGCTTGGTTAAGGACAGGCTGATGTGTCGTCGGGCTCAACGGTGGGAAGTAGAGGATGAATTGTTCAGCAAGGCTTTAGCTGTATGTGAAATAATTGTTCACACTGTGCACCACTGAGGAGACTAATCCATCTTTGGAATTTGTGAAACAAATCCTACAAGTGAAACCCAATAAGTGTATTGTTTTGTTGAAATGCCTTAACATTTCATTCCACAAAGCCAGGCCTTTAGTGGCACATTTTCTGTACCTGCATTACAGTGAAGCAGACAGCAGGGTTCCTGTCTACTGACCTCACTAAACCAAACTCTGCCTAACATATAATGCATTCCACTGCCTCTGATATTTTCCTCAGACACAGTTTAAACTATCATGGGTATCTGTTTGTTTCCATTGAGGGCAAAGCTCAAGTAAACCTCTGACAACAAACAACCCATTTTTGCTCACTTTTACGCAAACTGAAGTTAATTTAAAGTGTACAGCCTCATCCAACAGTGATGTCACAGTGTACAGCCTCATCCAACAGTGATGTCACAGTGTACA